ATGCCATACCATCAGGCCCCGACGGGCATAAAGTTTTACAATGCCATGCTGTACCATGGAAGCAAAAAGAAACCTAAGAATTTCATTAAATATTTTCAAAACTATCGTAGCAGCATGTTCACATCGTACATATGTGCAGTTATCGCTTCTTCATGACTTTGGTAAAGGGGAACCGCTTATATTCTAGCCCTTTCGGCAGCGCTAATTTAGTGCAGCTAAGTCATATCAATTTACTTGCAGGGTGCCTCTTTTGGGACCGGGAATTGTCGTATTTCGTTCCGTGCATTCTCACTCCGCACTATTTTAAAAGGAACATTTGTCCGTTGCAGCAACGAGTGCGACCACCTGGGAGAGCAATGAACTTTCATGCAGCAGGCAAGGTTTGTTCTCTTGGGCAAGCTCCCCCTCGTAAACAACTGAAAGGATGCATCGCTGGAAACTCAACAAATTTTGATGAAGGTACGAAGGCGTTTTTTTTTTGGCATTACTAATTCAAAACACGCTTTATTGCGGGCCACTTCAAGTTTCATGTACACATTCTACCCGCGATTTGTTATCGCAAGTTATGAGGAGTGTTTCATATCTATGCTGTTCGATCTGAAAGAATCGAATGCTGTTCTTGTTCAGTTTGTATCCATTCACGCTTCAGTGTTCTGTGTAGAAGTGCGCGGCCGTCTCTCAACTTACGGAACATTTTCATGTGACTTAACAGACATTTAATAATGCCGTATAATCATACGAGAACATATTTGCATTATATGTGTTCATATACGAGGTTATTAGCTAGAAGGAACATGTGTTATATGATAATTTTCGGTAGGGTTTCATCCAGTGATGGGATGACAACCCAGCTGCTGACCGCGTCAGGACGGGTTCCTTTGAGGACATTCTAGCAGCAGTCCGGAAGAACAGAGCGTCAAAGACATGTCTCTTTTTTTCCCGTTCTTTATGCGTGATGACGGCAATTTAACGAAGCCCGCAAAATTATTCATAATTGAAAATGTTGTTGAAGCACACTAAAAACAGATGGACAGAAGAGGCTGACAAGTACAGCGCTTCTTCAGCCTCTTCTGTCTGTTTTTCAGTGCCCTTCAACAAAATTTTCAATTATGAATGTAATCCCACTGGCCCAGCTTGCCACCTTCCCACAAAATTAATTGCGAGCCATTTCAGGTTACTTAACGCACGTGCACCTAAATCGAAGTACGCCGCTGTGCTTATCATTAGTTTTCCACGTGAACGCTGCCGACGAATCGAACCGGTGACCTCGTGATCTGTTACAATGTTCTAGTCCCTCATTTTTCAATGCGGTGTAAACAAGATCACGTCTATCTCGCACCCAGACACCTGGACTCCCTGCGGTACATTCGCCGTGGAGGAAGAAAAAGAAATGAGGGAGCGTGACGTCACCAGCCTTTGCAAGCCAACCCGTTATGAAGCCAGAAGTGTCGGGTCGAAACGTGCTTTTTGCGTCAAGATCACGCAAGCAACGAATGTTTCCGATATACTTCAGAGTGTGGCGCCCGGTAACTTATATCCGAAGTGCGCTTGTTCGGCGCAGAGCAGCCTGCTCACGCAGTATGTTACAGAACGCACAACCACCGAAATTGTTAAAAACCACCCCACGCTCTGACGTTTGGGTCATGTGTTGAGCTGACACGGTCGGCTTCACTTATACTTAGCTTCACTCGTGTGACGTAATTCTCCCTTCTTTTTTCCTCCCTGCATGACAATCTCGAACCCAGACATTATTTTGTTCTGAGCTGCCAAGTGCATATGTATTTTCGTCCAAGTTAACATGGCAAGTGGTAGGTCTGGGGCTTTAAAATTCAAAAAAGCAGCTGTTCACGCCACTCCCGCTTACAAGGAGTCGTCTGGGCACGACTGTGACGTCTAACGATGCGAAACCAATCAGTTCAAGGGGAAGATACTACTCAGCCCTGTCAACGAATATCACAATTAGACGCGGATATTGTACCTGAAGGGTGTTTTCGGATTGCACAGATTTTCATCTGCAACGAGCAATGCTGAGCTCCGTCGTCAAGTGGAGAATAATTTGCACTTAACATAGAAAGCTATGACCCCAGTAAATTTAAATGAAAAAGGTATTACCATAGTAAAAGCTATGACCCCAGTACACACATACCGCGTGTATTCAAGAGTGACGCCAGCTTTTTCGCATTGCAGCAGGAATTGCGTGCCGTATGCCTGTAGTATGCACTGCCAAACTTATTGGCTTACTATTTCGCAGTTTTTGATTTGAGAGCGCACTGCTTAGACGCGGACAGAAAAACAGGAACAAGCGCTTACTACCAACTGAAAATTCATTCGGAAAACTATGAAATATACATTGGCAGATGAAACAGTGTCATGGCACATACGATAAGACCAAATCATGAAACAAAATAACAGAACCGATAAAAGATCTATGTACGTCAGCCCCACCTTACCAACGCCTACTGTGATTTCAAGTAATTACTTAACTCCTATGACATCTAAGTTTTATGACATAAGTTTTACCGCCTGTAGCAACCAGTCATAAAGACCATATCATAGATGGAATTTGGTGCTGCCATTTGAGTCTCCTCACGTTTATGTTTTGCATCGTTAACAACTAAAAGAACAGTGTTTACGGCAGACCCATGCACAAGAAAACAGTTGGGTTCGTGCATACGATAGTTCGTAACTTAACTGCTTCACGTCACAATATGCGATACCGAAAAAACATCAACTTAACAGCCCAAGATGTCACCAGCCATATGTCCCAGGGAAAATAGTCTATATGTATACTAAGACATGTGCATTTCAATTTTTATTTAACGAAGCCATCCCATGGCGCATTGGCACATGGGATGTCTGCGGGTAGCGACAACCCCACGCAGTACGTAGCACTAAATGTTCGTCGTCTACTGCGTGCCATGAAACTTTCACGATTTGCGGACGCGTGGGGACAGAACGCACGTAGCTCTGGTAATTTATGCTCGTTATCGCTTAAATCGCTTCAGACGACATTGACGGGCACCTCGGCGCTTTATTCCTGGTTCATAACCTGGCCGTCGGTGCCCAGGTGGCCGTTTTCACACTCGGTAATTTGGCAATGCTCTGTGTCGGTTTTGTAATTAAAAAATGTGACACGAGGGCTTTCATACGCGCTTCTTCATGCTGGTCTACACGAGCATTCTGGCTTATCTTTACGACTGTTGCATCGGTTAACGGGCATGCCTGTTAATTGTTATCTTTTTTCTTGCAAAATCAACTAAACAAAACACAAAGCTGGGCGCAGTATGTTGAAGGGACACTAAGTCAGATGACAATTTACGTCAGAGTGAAAGCTCAATGACTGGCATCTAAAACTACAATATATTGTCGTTTTAGATGCCAGTCATTGATAATATACTGTTGTTGATAATATATTATCAACAACAGTGCTATACTTACCGAGAAGTTAGGGTAATTGCACACGAACACAAGCGCCACAGGACATATTCAAAACGATCTTGATGACATCAGAGGGACCGCCTACAATATTACCTAGTAATCGATCTAACTGCACTAAATAAAGACCATTCCGTGCATCAAGAGACGCAATAAAATGCTGCTTGTTCTTTTCTGTTTGATTCACGAGAAAAAGAACCGCCGGGCGTTATTATGGGGAATGGCACAATGCTTCTAAAATTCAATTTTCGCGTGGTTTAACGGTACAGGTGGTGGCATCTAGCGGGGTGCAGTTGAAACAAAAGCGTCTGCAATCTCGCAGCCAATGGCGGGAAATGGATCAATGGCCGTTGTTGCTGCTGTGTCTACTGCTGCTTTCGGTCTGCTGCTACTAGCGCAGTAAAGCCGGCAACGTTGTGCACGGCAATAGTGACGTGAGATGGTACGGTCGGTATGCTTCTTGAGGCGGGTAATTTGAAGTGCGCTAACCCTATGCGAAGCACTAAAACGTGATTTTATTTCAAAATTGGCCCTTCCCTGGCACGAAAGTAACAATACAAGGTTTCTAGACTGCCATTTGAACAATCAACGTCGAAATAATAGTTGGCTTTAGTGTCACTTTAAGCGCATTGTGCACCTCGGAGAGTGGCACGGGGAGGAAATTCGAGTTGGTGTTATTAGGAGTTCTTCGTCAACGGCGACGGCCTTAGATATTGAAGACTAAAAAACAGGCCAACGAGGCAGTGTTCATACTGAGTAGCGGGCGTCGAGAAGCGTTGTCGTCTACCCCGACCCCACCACTTTCGGTCGTCGTCATGGCAAAAAAAAAAAAAAAACATTTGGGCTTCGCGGCACTCTACGAGACGTGGTTCACGAAGAATCGTAAGTTTGAGGAAACGCGATCTAAACGTCCGGTGATATAAAAAGAACTGTTGGTCTAAACATTGCACACAATATGTTCATTTCTGTGATATGTCTGTCATGTAAGCTATTGAAACATGCATAGTTGAACATTGGACCACCACATTTCTTTAATAAAGCAGCATTTTGTTGCTATTGTAAAAAGCACCAAGAAAGAAAGAAAAAATGCTGTACTACCCCGCGGTGGAGCACCGGTTGTTATGGTGCTCGGCTTCTCACCCGAAGGTCAAGGGTTTCGTGGTCGCTCCCGTGACATCTGATTAGTGCCGGTTCACTCTCGCGTTTCTTTGTGCTCCCTTTTGTCGTGACTGGCGAACAGAAAAGAGTGGGGTGAGCACGAAAGAACGCGGGTACATAACGACCCTGCGGTGTCCTATCCTCCACTGACAGGGAAAGTCCAGGTAGCCTCCATGGTGACGCACCCAGAGCAGATGGCCTGTATGTGACGTCACGTGAAAGCTAGGCTATCCAGCCACATAACACACAATTAACAGCGTTTTTGTTTTAATGTACATAACATTTCAATTACTTCTCGTCGCGATAACGAAAGAAAAATTAAACTATTGGTGGTAAGAACATCAAACTACTTTTTTTTCCCGATCGCATCGACTGCAAGAAGTCTCGCTAGCTTCGGCAACGTTGCACATGAAGTGTAAAAAAGAATATAGAATACCGCGAATCTTTTCACAGAAGGGAACAAACGTCGTCACGATGGGCTGCGCGTGGTAGTACAAAAGCTAGACACAATAGTGCATTCTCGAGGGTTCACGCCAATGAGCACCTCCTAAAAAGGTCACTGTAGGTACCCGGGGAGCAATTTTTGAACAGATCACCATGGCCACCATGTTCGGGTACCTGCTGGTATAAAGGCCACGTGCACTTCATCTGAAATGTGCGGAGAATGAAAGTTTGGCATCACATTAGTGCCGGAGCTCCCTCGAGTTCCTTTGCGTTCACTCTTGGGAAAATTGGCAAACAGAAGAAAGCAGAGAAAGCATGAAAGAATGCGGTGACTGAACCACTGCTGTCTCCCCTACGCTAAACCCTTTCTAGTAGGATAAGAATTCCCCCTGACTGCGATGTCTGAGTACCCAGCGCTTAGAACCAGTCTGGGTGGTCACGAGAACACTATGTATAGTACCATATCAATGCACGCTAAAGCAGCAGGGGCCATTCAAATTTCCGGAGCTCTCCCCTACCCCGTCTCTCATAACCACAGCCTCGTTTTCAGAGTAAAACACAGGATATCAAAATAAGAAAAAAATTCCCAACGACAACGCAACTATTGGCCATGAATACCTTGCATAATAATTTTTGTTTTCATGCACGAGTAACTTTGTTTCCTAGTTGCAGGCATACTACTTTTTATGTTAACCATCAGCCTCTTCGTTTCGAGTCTCCCGTTCTCTTGTTCCGGGGGGGGGGGGGGGGAGTATACTCCCTGAAGTCGCAAATTATTGTGCCTTGTCTGAAATGTGTCAAATTTCGTTGGCCTAATTCCAAGGCACTCAGTATTAGATTTCAAGCAAAAATATGCGTTGTTTTTTGTGAGCTTTAGTGGTTAATATTATTGAGTGTTTGAACTAATTATCTATATCCTCTGCCACCAGTCAGCTTCAGTACTTGCATAAAAGATTCCGCTATTCGGCCCAAAAGGCATGTACAGACTATTTTTTATTCTATTTGTTTTGAGTAAAGAAAAAAATCACGTTGGTCTTGGAGTGCATCACGTCGAACAATCGTCGAACATAGTGCATTCAGCCAAGCGGTCGTCTGCAGCAATACGCATCATGATGAAATTAAATTATCGCCAGTTTTTTTATGCTATAGAGGCTTCCACAAAGAGCTATGTTTCAAGCCTTTTGATGAAATACGCAGTGCGTGACGTGTCATTGATGTTCGCGGGTACATTTTTACTCATCGTGTCTGAAAGGGCTATTTAAGTACACAATGAGGCGTGACATTCCTGTAGTTTGCTTTCAGAACAGGAGCTACGTATTCCCGTGCGAATGACCACGCTAGAAATCGGACGGGTGAACCAGCTTCTACCCAGAAAAACGCTCTGGGCACGAAAAATTCGCTTTAAAACAAAGCTGTGGAAAAACAAACTTTCAGGTGCGTGCAATGCGTGGCGAGCCGGCGCTCACAAATTTGCAGTGTCCAATCACGAGTTCACTTCGTAGCTCAATGCGGGAATTGATATTGATGCATTTTTTTATATTTTAGTAAAGCCTTTCATCTTGTCATGCAAAGTAAACAGTAAAAAAAAGAGGTATCGATGGGGAAGGGTGAAGAAAACGTAGAAGGAAAGGTAGTCAAGATAGGACACCCTTACAATGACAATTTCACGATGATAACAATGTCCTCACGGAATAAATCTCGAAAGTGAAGGTTCTCTGGGACCTGTACATGAGTCATTTTTCTTTTTTTTCCTGTCATGTAGACAAAGAACCGTCACCAGTTCTTGTATCCGGGAAAAGTCTTGTCCAGTGCTCTCTCACAGAAAAGCTTTTCAGCGATGACACGTGGAGGAATTCACAGGGGTGTAAGGCCTTGAGCATAGGTAATTGAATTTTGAACGGTTCACGCATATGTACAATGAGTTGGAGGGCAGCTTGGTCTT